TAAGCAGTTCTCCGCGTTCTTGAGCAGCCTTAGACAGTACTAAGCTACGCACAGCCTATCCCTCTGGAACTGCTCCTGGTATCCGCGCCGGACGAATTCGCTACCCAAAAGCCTCAGAACAACCGACAGAAGCAGCTCATGAAGAATGCTCCCCATGCGCCAGTCATTCCCATGAAGGACACCAAGGGCGGGTTCTCCATCACTTTTGTGCACCTGGGACGCAAGTACTACCAGATCACTCTCTGGGCAAGCACCTACGTGAGCCAGCGGAAATGGGTGGAGCACATCCAGAAGCAGCAGGAGATCATGCGCGAGCGCAGTAACGTCTTCGAGACCATCACGATCAATGAGGGCTTCTTCATTGGGGTCAACAAGGTCAATTGCGCTGCACCATTCAGTATGTTCCTTCTGTCTCATTCTCGCTATACTTGCTCACTTCACTCTTGTAGACCAAGGAAGGAAGGCTGTCTATGGCACTGACGACGGCGTCTATCTCTCCAACCTTTTGGAGCGTAACCGGGAACCTGTCAAGGTTCTCGCGTTGAAGGATGTCGAACAGGTCGATGTCCTCGAAGACTACCAGCTGTTGATCGTCTTGGCAGGTGCGTTGCGGCACTGTTCCGTGCATATGGCCTCTCTCATGCGCCGGTTGTAGAGCGACAAGTCATCACCTTCCCGCTCGACGCCCTGGACCCCATGGATCCCCTGTCCGGTCTCAAACGGGCCAAGAGGATAGCATCGCACATCTCTTTCTTCAAGGCCGGCGTATGTGTTGGGAAGACGCTCGTGTGTGTCGTCAAGTCCAGCCCGCTGTCGAGTACCATCAAGGCCCTGGAGCCCATCGACCAGAATATCCGCGGGCGAAGCAAGCCTACTTTCCGCAAATTGCTGCAGGGCGGCAATGATACGCTGCGCGTATACAAGGTAGGCGATGATATGTCTGCTGAGGATTACCAGGTTTCTAACGCTTGGCTTCCAGGAGTTCTACATACCTGTGCAGTCTAGCTCGATACACTTCTTGAAGACGAGGCTTTGTATCGGTTGTACGAACGGTTTCGAGATCGTGGACCTGGAGACATTGGATACCCAAGGCCTATTGGACCCCGCGGACCAATCGCTGGAGTTCGTGCACAAGAGGGAGAACCTCAAGCCGCTCGCTATCTACCGAATAGAGAACGAGTTCTTGCTGTGCTACGATGGTCAGTTTTCACCATTGGGCGGCTGATTATAGAAACTCACCTGAGTTGCAGAGTTCGCATTCTATGTCAACAAGGCTGGTTGGCGATCACGCAAGGAATTCATGGTATACTGGGAGGGCAACCCCACCGGATTCGGTACGTCCAGTCTTCTCCTGCGTCTTGACGTCTTACGAACGCCCGCCCAGCGCTACATTATCCATATGTGCTCGCATTCGAACCGACCTTCGTGGAAATCCGGCACGTCGAAACCGGCGCGATGTCGCAGATCATCCAGGGCAACAACCTTCGCTGCCTCTTCGCGGATACGCCGCCCTCGACAACGCATGGCGCGAACAACTACTACAATGTGTACCAGCAAGGCTACGGGTACAACTCGTACCCGTCGCCGGACGGCGGCCGCGCTTCGATTGTGTCCATGTCGTCCAACGGATACGGCTCTCCGAGCGCCCTAGCACCATACCCCAACCCATACGTCCCACGACCGCCGCTGGGCGTAGGACGAGACGAGATCCTCATGGTGTCTGACGACCGTGTCATGAGGTTGCAGATGACCGCGACGGCGCGCGCTGCGCTACACGGGCACTGACACCAACGCGCATCTACCTCTCGAGCTGCGGATGCATACGGCCCCATGACGACGCGACGACCTGTTGTTGTATTTTGCTTTCTCTGCCACCTATCCCACTGCCCTCATGCTGACCACCGCACGCATACCACCTTCCGACCTGCTCTTCCTGTCATGTCCTTCAGAGTTCCCTCTTAACCCCCTCCCCTACCGATCCCCTTACCCGTCCACCCCTTGCCTTCCCATATCGCCCACTCCCCGGCTTGTGCGCTCTTCTTCCCCTACGATAATGGTCCGCCCGCCCTGTCTTGAAGCGATCGACGTCTGTTGTTGTTGTCTCCCGCGCATTCCATTCCCAGTCCTACCTCCACAGCATATATATCCTAACCTGCACTTGTATCCGAGACTCATCATCTGTTATGGTACGCGTATCTAACATTTATTCGAGCATAGAAGGCGGTTCTCGCAGGCCCGCAAGTGACGCGTTCGCGCGTGGCGCGGCGGACGTCGGCGGCTGAGGCTCGCGACGTTGCCGTCAGGAAACGCAATTATAACCCATCGATTCGTTCGGCATTGTGGCCCTGGGTATATCGTACAACCTCTAGCATAATAAATGTCTTCCGAGCCCTCGTTGTCCACGTCGACGCTGGTCCCCTCAGAGCTTCGACTTCTCGCTTGCGGCCGCGGCCTGTTGAGCGTGCAGGTCGTACAAGTCCTGCGCGGCGCGCTCGATCTCGGCGCAGAACTCGGCGTTGGGCATCTCCGTGCGCGAGGTGATCGTGAACTGGAGGTAGTCGTCGAAGCCGGTCATGTACGCCACGCCGAACCCGTCGGGCACGACCTGCGCAGTGCACACATACCGTCTCAGCAGACGATTCGTAGAGCGCGCGGTGCAGGGGACGCTCGGAGCGTAGGAGGGAACGGGAAACGCACCTCGCCCCAGCCGTACGGCCCAAAGTGCTTGGAGAAGATCGCGGAGGTGCTGAGCACCCAGTAGCTCGAGCGCTTCACGACCGGGTCCGCGAAGAGCGCGGGCATCCGCTCGCCGTCCTGCACGAGCATCTTGAGACCTGCACACCGACGCATCGCCCCCGTCCGTCAGCCCTTCCGCGACACGTCCTTCCGCGAGGTGAGGGGACAAGATGTACGCACCGAGCAAGTGCCGGTCGACGCCCTTCCCGTTCCCCGCCATTCGTGCCCACGCGCCGTGCACCCTCACCGCCTCCCCGAACAGCTCGAGCCTCTCTTTCGCAGCGGCGCCCGCGTCGTCCAGCATGCTCCTGACCCACGCGTCCGACTGCGGCGTCACGACCCTGATCGCCTCCGTGCGGCCCTTCAGGAACTTGCGCGTCGACGCGGCCTCGTACGTGCCGCCCCGCCTGCGCTCGCCGCGCGCGCGGAGGAGGCGCGCGTACGCGAGCTGCACGACGAGCTGCGTCCACGAGTCGGGCGAGACGCCGAACGCCTTGATCGCGGCCTTGCCATATGGGGTGCGCACGATGTGCAGGGCCTGCGAGGCGATGAGCGCGCTCGCGGCGTCCGTCGCCGCGGCGATCGCGCGCTCGGTCTGGGGGGAGACGTGCCAGTCGAGCGGCGTGGGCGGTTTCGCTTGTCCTGCCGCGGAGGAGCTTGAGGAGGCGAAGTCGGGCGAAGCGATCATGTCGAGGACGCGATCGCACAGCGCGACGGTGGGCGTGCCGTCCATGACCGAGTGCTCGCCGACGAAGCCGGCCTTGCCGTCGTCGAAGACGACGAACTGGCACGGCTTGTCCATCCAGCGGTTCGCCAGGCCGAGCCTGGCGCGTCCGCCCCCAGACGGAGGGTGGACGGCGCCGTGCCAGAGGAGGCGGCTGTGCTCGACGAGGGTGGGCGCGGACTCGGCGTCGAGGCAGAGGACGAAGGCGGCGGCGTGGATGGCGGTGATGATGTCTGCGTTGTGCGGGTCCGCGGCGAGCGCGCGGTAGTCCTGCGGGGTGAGGGCGGTCGCCCCCAGTTTCAGTGAGGCGCCCCGGAGACGTGGTGGGTGAGGCGTACCTTTGCCCAGACGTCGCGGTTCGACGCGGTGAGGATGCCGACGCCCGGGTACTCCTGTGTCGTGTTGTCGTAAATGTGCTGGATTTGACTGCGGAAAGCGCGTCAGACTCGATTGTAGATACTCCAATCGTGGAGGCGACTGACCGCTGAAGCTCGTCGAGCGAGAGCAGCTCGCCGTTCTGCCACGGCTCGAGCTTCCAGAAGCGCCCGCGGCATAGGACGACGACGTGTCCGGAGCGGCCGCGGTCGCCTTCCTTGGCGTGGCTGACGCACCAGTCGACTTCGGGGCCGGGGACGCGGCTGCAGTCGAACATCCACCTACGTGCACGCGTGAGCGACGCATCAGACCAGTGTTGGATGCGGCGGGCGCGCACCTCCAGCCGTCCATGCAGAGAGGGCCGTCCTTGGTTGCCTCTGGGGACACCTGGCCGAGCTTGTACTGCTCGCGGAAGAGCATGCCGGCGCGCACGAGGGAGGCGGCGCGGTGTACGGCGGTCTGTGGCAAGTGCTTGGGGTGGTCCTTGAAGCCATCTGTGCTCGGTGACGCGTCGTACAGCACGAGCTTGCGGGGAGAGGAGCGGGAGTGACGTACAATAGTATGAGACGTTTATGACGACCTGCGCGGGGATGGTGAGCTCTCGACAGCGCGCGGGACGAGATACATGGGCGGGGCACGGACCGAGTCGCGAAAGGCCATGTAGGACCAGTCGTCCCACCACTCCTCGAGCCAGTGGGGGCGGTCGGGGTCGGCGGCGCGCTGCTGGAGCCTGCGCTGCAGCTCGTGGGCATACTCGCTGGTGGCGAAGTCGTCGACTGCGTTGAGCGCGTGGGCGTACTCGGTGTCGGACGAGGCGATGGGGCTGAGGGAGTGCCTGAGCTTGGCCAAAGTGTCGTGGAGAGCGGGGACGGGCAAACGCGGGAGGGATGATTGGGCGGCGAAGGTGGGGCCGGGAAGCGGGGGAGGGGCGAGGTGCTTCCAGTGCGGGGGGCGGGTGGCAGCGAAGGCGAGGGCGGACATGGAGCGGGAGGGTGGGGAGGGGATGCGGGGCCGTCTGCAGCTGAACATCGCGGGGCAGAGCAGACCACACACTGTATACCGTACCTCGCTGAGACTCGCAGCCACCGGGCACACGTCCACGTGAATACCGCCCCGGACGCCCTCCCACTCGCACTCGCCTCCACCGCGCCGGAGCAAAAATAAAGGGCCTGGCCGGGAATTGAACCCGGGACCTCCTCCAAACGCCGTCGAAGCCCTAAGAAGGAATCATACTACTAGACCACCAGGCCGTGGGGGTGTGATGCTCCTCAAAGTATCCGATGGCGCCGTACCACTGTCGACGCGTCACTCAAGCTTACGCGTCCGACACGCGCTCTCACTACGCCAACTTCAGCCTCCACACCGCTCCTCTACCTACCCTCACTCTCAGCCGCAATGAGCTCAGCACACGCTTCAACATCAGCAAACACCATGGACCAGAGGAGGAAGGATGCCCTCAAGGGGTACAGAGACGTGCGTACTCTCATGCTTCATATGCGGACATCACCGCTGACTGACGCACTCGACAGAAAATGCGGCAACATGAGAACATGAGCCAGAACCTGAAGAACCGTGAGCAATGGACAGGACATGCTGCATGTCTTTCTCTGGCCTGACATGATGCGTAGTGCGCTTCTCGTTGAAGGACCTCGAGAAGGACTTCGAGAAGACGGAGGAGGACATCAAGGCCGTGCAGTCAGTGGGCCAGATCATCGGCGAGGTCATGAAGCAGCTAGACGACGAACGATGCGAGTGCACAAGTCCAGTCCTTTCGGAGTACATAGCCCTCTGACGCGAATGCCACCTTGCAGTCATCGTGAAGGCATCCTCAGGTCCCCGCTACGTCGTCTCCTACCGCCCCACGCTCCCGGTCGAGAAGCTCAAGATGGGCACCCGCGTCAGCCTCGACATGACCACCCTCACCATCATGCGCATACTCCCCCGCGAGGTCGACCCGCTCGTGTACAAGATGAGTCTCGAGGACCCCGGAGGCGCCAGCTTCGCAGGCATCGGTGGTCTCGGTGAGCAAGTCCGGGAACTCCGCGAGGTACGTACCCCCTTCCCGCCCCTCCCTCGCTCCTCCCCCTCCTCCGCCTATTCACGCTCGCACGCCCGCAGGTGATCGAGCTCCCGCTGCTCAACCCCGAGCTCTTCCAGCGCGTCGGCATCAAGCCGCCCAAAGGCGTGCTCCTGTACGGCCCCCCCGGGACGGGCAAGACGCTGCTCGCGCGCGCGGTCGCCGCGACGCTCAACACGAACTTCCTCAAAGTCGTCTCCTCCGCGATCGTCGACAAGTACATCGGCGAGAGCGCGCGCGTCGTGCGCGAGATGTTCGGCTACGCGCGCGAGCACGAGCCGTGCGTCATCTTCATGGACGAGATCGACGCCATCGGCGGCCGCCGGTTCTCCGAGGGCACGAGCGCGGACCGCGAGATCCAGCGGACGCTCATGGAGGTGCGTTCTCCTGCTGCCGCCTCCGCCGTTGGAGAGTGGAGGGGGAGAGACTGACTCGTGCGTGTGTGTATGTGCAGTTGCTGAACCAGATGGACGGCTTCGACCCGCTCGGCCGGACGAAGATCATCATGGCGACGAACCGGCCGGACACGCTCGACCCCGCGCTCCTCCGCCCCGGCCGTCTCGACCGGAAGATCGAGATCCGGCTGCCCAACGAGCAGGCGCGCCTCGAGATTTTGAAGATCCACGCGCAGCCGGTGAACAAGAGCGGCGAGATCGACTACGAGGCGATCGTGAAGGTGCGTTCGGACCCGACGTGTTCTCTCTCTGAGGTGTGTTGTGGCTTACGGTTGGGTTGGCATAGCTTTCGGATGGCTTCAACGGTGCTGACTTGCGGAACGTCATCACTGAGGCGGGGATGTTCGCCATCCGGGACGATCGGTACGTCCCATGTCTTATACGTTCTATCGCAGTACGCTGACCCGGTACTAGTGAATACGTCATCCAGGAGGACCTCACGAAGGCGGCGCGGAAAGTCGGAGAGGCGAAGAAGCACGAAAGTGAGTCTCGAGCCCTCCTCGAGTCATGCTCGCTGACGATACTCATTCCGAACCTCTCTCTCTCTCTACAGCCAAGCTCGAGTACTCCGCATAGTCGGGGCGGACGGCTTGGCGGTTCCTGCGGACGTGTCGATCCTTTTGTATCATACCATGCATTTTGTATCCGGACTTCAGCTATCCAGCTAGATTCTCTCTGCATTTCCGTTCACGGCGATCGCGCGAAGGCCTGTAAGACCATGCTAAATCGACTCCTATGCATTGAGCGGAAGAGAGAATTGCCCCCGGCAAGTGCTATACAGTCTGTATAGAGTGTTACTGGTCGTATCGAGTCTATCGACAGTGCCCGCCACCTCCCGAGTCCCACCGCCCAACCCGGTTATGGGTGGGTGCCATAGGGTTAGGGTTAGCGCGACGTACCGACATAAAAAAAAACAAAGAAGGATGGCCTGCCCAGCCCGAGGGCCGAAGCAGGACAGGGAAATATTTAGACGGTGCATGACCCGAAGGCCATACAAACCGCAGGGGCCCCCTGCGGACAGGGTCGCCGTGCTATGAGAGGCCCCCACGGCCCACGAACCCAGGTACGTGAAGGGGCTCGTGCCATCAAGGTAAGTATGAGGTGTCTGCATAGGCGGAGGGAGGTTTTATACTGTAGCAGGGGAGGGGCGGCGGCGCACGGACCAGGCTGTTTAGGGCTGGTGCCGGCTGGAATCAGGCTTAGCTGCAGCATAGTTTGACGTGTCATTCCACGAGCTGCAGAATCACTAGTGTTCGGATACATTGCCGTAGCTTACTCTGTATGGAACACACGGAAGGCCTACCGTGGCCTGGTGGTCTAGTAGTATGATTCCTTCTTAGGGCTTTAACAGCATTTGGAGGAGGTCCCGGGTTCAATTCCCGGCCAGGCCCTACACATGGGTTGGAATACCACTATTTTTGAATGCTGGCAGTTGAAGAAAAGTACAGAAGTGTTGTCGACTGGTACCGTACATACCCGGAACTATCCTGACATACACGTGCCAATCTCTCAGAGATGTTGGCAGATCTCGGGCACATTTGTGTCTGCGTGACCCACTGAGTCACAGTAACATTGGATTATCAGGTTCACGCTACACAACTTTACAGTAGGACGTCCCTAGACCATGTCGCACCCATCATCGGTAGAGTACAGCGTAGAGTACAATGCTCGATTCATTCTGTCAAGCGACCCCGATTGCGCAAGACGAAACTCCGAACTGTGTCCTCAGTGATATCGATAGCTCCTGAGGTGCCAAGCCTCGCACGATATCTGCCCCTCGTCCAGTACCGCCACCCTGTATCGCTCGCGGGGTCCAATGACGCACACCCGCGCGTGTCGTAGAGAAGGAATGGTCTGGGAGAAACGGCGTAGGTAGTCCTCAGCATTGAAGCCTACCGCTGAGAGCTCCGCGAAGTTCAGCGGATAATTGTCTACCCCGTGGCCGGGCGGAGGAGGACCCCGGCGACAAGCGTATCTCATCATTGACCGGTCCGCGCTTGAGCGAGGGTCAAGAGAACCTGTATGGACCGTGATCTCGACATTCCGAAGGGGCGAGAGTCCGAGCGACAAGAGCAAGCCGTCCTATAACCTCGCAAGATGAGATGCCAATACCAAAATGCGGAACCGCGAACGCTCACCATGGCTCTTCCGATGTCGACGTGAGCCTCGTTCTCCTGGAGTCCGACCGTTACAGTGAGAGACTCAAGCCGCGAGCTCCCTGCTGCTAAAGCGCCGCAGACGCCACCGGTGGGGAGACTGAGCTGAGTCCCTGAGCAACGGCCGAGCTTGAGTGATTGTGGACGAGCATAGCCAAGCATCGTCTCCAGCATGTCGGGGATGACTTCTTCGAGGTCGTGAAGCGTAACGTCATCCACAGGGCACGTTAGGCCCAGAAGGTAGAGGTCCGAAAGGGATCCAACGAATTGCTGTAAGCCGTTCCAGGTGCGGCGGGCGTTGATCTGCTCGCGAATGTTGAGACGGTGCTGGGCTTCGTAGACCTCCCTTCGCTCGAGTGCAAAGCGAGTTATGTTGCCCTCCTTACACGAGTAGGAGAGGTGCGTGAGGTTCGGGTATGCGTTGATGAAGGTCATAGTAAGGGGCATTCCGGTGCTCTCGAAATCGAGGCGGCGCATCTCGGGGTAGACGAGGTCGGGATCGGGACTTGTCTGGTCATGAGTCCGCAAGCCGCGGGCCTCGATCACCTCAAGCGTACCCATCGAATGGGCGAGGAGAACCGCAGGGTGGTGCTCAGGCAAAACGGGTTCGTCGCCGCCGTTCAATACCAATGTGACTCGCACGAGCCTCGATTGAAGGTTCTGAAGCATCTTGATAGACACCTCGCCGACGTGCCATAGCCGGAGCTCTTGTAGAGATGTGAGCGCCGCAAAGGCTGCGACGAGAGAGGGACGGGACCCCAGGACGAAGTCGCCCGTCTTTAGACTGAGCGAGCGGAGGTTGACCATTAGAGGAAGGACTTGAGCGAGCTGAAGAGCCGCAGATTCGGGCAGTTCAGAGAAGGTGAGGTTGAGAGACCGGACGAGCTTGAAACGCCTCTCAGGCTGCACGCGGAGGAATGTAAGAAATTGATGAAGGCATGTCTCGCTGTGGAGTCGGACGGTGGTGCGAAGAAGCACCCTTGGTCCAGCGTCGTAGAAGTAACGGCAGGTGCGCATGAGGAGGCAGACCTGCTGGTCAGAAGAGGCCTCTAGGACTGCGAGTAGGATGTCCTGGTTGAGAACGGCTTGTAGTGACATGTCGTGTGGCTAAACGCGAGATGGCGGGTAATTCGCTCTGGAAACAGTAGACCCGGTAGGGTGTTAGTAAATGTGCATTTATCATGCGCAGAATCCGGGCCTGAGCAGATCAGTCGCAAGGCTGCCACCCCATCTACGTCGCCTCACGGCTAGTCCTGCAAGGGGGTATGTGCGAGGTGTGATATGCTTACCGAGGGAACGGCTGTTGATGCAGTTTTTGCGGCGTGTATTCTTCTTCACCTCGCGGGGATAAAGAGAGGGTTATACTAGGGTGAATAGACAGCGGAAGAGGCCCGGGAGTGCAAGGAGGAGGAAGGCAAGTCGCAACGACTGAGAGCCGCCCGCACTCGCCGTCTCCTCAACACACCCACGTGATCGTTTTAGCCACAAACACTTCGGTGCGGTCTACCGTCGACGAGTGAGGCTGTCTAAGGTCATCAATAATCGTAGACGACCGGATTAAC